GTTTTCATTAATACATGTGGAGATGGTCTTTAATCAAACAGTGAGGAGTTTTCATTAATACATGTGGAGATGGTCTTTAATCAAACAGTGAGGAGTTTTCATTAATACATATGGAGATCGTCTTTGATCAAACAGTGAGGAGTTTTCATTAATACATGTGGAGATGGTCTTTAATCAAACAATGAGGAGTTTTCATTAATACATGTGGAGATGGTCTTTGATCAAACAGTGAGGAGTTTTCATTAATACATGTGGTAGCTTTGCGCGAAATTCAAAAGAAACAAACCATAATTCCCAGCCAACATTTATCCATTGTATGATTTTGTTTAAAGGCTTCAGGATACTCATTAATTTGTTTGTTTGTTGCTACGCATGAAGTTACACAATTGGCTATTTGTGATCTATCCATCACGGGTATCGAAACTCAATTTTATCAGAATATGCCCTCAAACGTTCCGCTGAGCCATTGGGGGCTGTTACCCATTAAAGTTTTATTTGCTTCTGTAATAACGTTTTTAAACGTAAATAGATCAATATTCCACGAACCTCTAAAAAGATAAACAATCTAATTTAACATGTGAAATTTGTGACGGATTTATTATTATATATTTACTTTAACTATCAACGTTTGTTTAGATTAAATTTATATTTAGAAACATACATAGCTTATAGTGTTAAATATGTATTGCAAAATTCCCGCCCATTCTCCAAAGTTGTAGAAAATTCTCGAGAGTAAGAATCAACATACGTATGTACATAAACGCTTGTGTTAGCGTCAGTATTGTTACGTAAAACTGAAATTTCGAGAAAGCCCCCACACGCCTATAAATATAAGCAACGAGACGCGCCAAAAAAGTAGTATTTATTATTGGTTTGCTATAGTCAGTGTACTATAAACTTCGGAAGCTATAACTGTAAATGTGATTAACGCTTATCAATTATAAAACTTCAGATATTTGACTAGAAGCAATTACAAAGTTCGAACATTACAAATCATTTAACTTCAGTGGATTCTCATAGGACATTAGTATTTTTACGAAAACATTACCTAACTTCAACGGTGGAAAACTCGGCGTATGTGGCTGGTGAATAACGAAGGAAGCTAGCTAGCTTCCCGTTAAGCGAATCGTATCTACATCAACTGGTAATTAACTTGCTCATCGTGAACCCTCGATAAGATATAAAGGAAGTTCTGGACTAGAAAGAAGACTTTATATTTCTTGTAAGTTTGTGAAACGTGTGTATATATAAATCATTGTTTGTAATAACTATTTGTAATAAGTTATTGTAAATTGTATTGTTGTTTGTATATTAAAACTTATTTGTGTTAAAAAAGAAATCTGTGTGTATCAATCTTGTTGGCAAATATCATAAGCCGACTATATATCGGCTTTTACTTAACGGCTAAATCCAAAGTCCAATTTAACTGATAAATTTAAAGAATCATTTAACTCAGTTTCAGACCTTTCGATATTATAATACGTAACAAATTAAATTACTCTTTCATATTCCATGGTAATTTATGTCGGTGGAAGCCTTTAGATAATTCGCATGTTTGATAAGCGATTTGTTATTTCTAGTAGAAAGTATTTAGTTTCTTGGAAAGGAATTTGAAATGAAAACTCGTAATAGCGTAAGCAGCATTTTTAATCGGCTGATAAACTGGAACGATTTTAGTTTTAAAAAAAAACTATCTTTAACAAGAACAATCACAAACAAACCTTTAACGTCTAGACCACCTCTATATTTGTCCCAGCCTTTTAGTCGAATTCTTTCTCCCAGCAAAGAGAGAAATTGGTCAAAATTTTTACTTCCATTCTCTGTAGACAAATAAAGCAACAACAAAAAATGTTATGAGTGAGTTTTTAAATTACGTAGACATTTCCACGGTTAACATATCTAACAAAAGATGTAAATAAACATATGGAAAATATTACGGTGAAGTGCTTGTAATCTAATACAATAATCAACAAAACTCTAAAATTCAGTCAAGACTTTTGTTATTTTAAATATCGATGACATAGAAAGAAAAACAGATAAAAAAAACGATAATTGATAAAATTGAATTATGAAACCTTTCACGACGTTAAAATTTGTATTCATCGCCAATGTTTTCCACAACTAGAGCCTTTAACTGAAACTGTAAAATGCACACTCACCATTATTCGTATAATTTCGCTCTGTAGTCTTAAAAATAATTGTTTGATTTTGAGTTTTAAAAATAATTGTTTTATTCTGAGATTAATATTTTCGAAAAGAGATGGCAGGTGTTGGTTACTTACTGTTTCATTGAGGCCGTATATTAATAATGAGTGGGATATGAAGTCCGAGTCCGGAAGAATATTAATTGGTGTGTGCGTACTCGGACTCGAGCCGGACTGAAAGTTATTTTAAATTTTTCTGACATGGTCGAACATGAAAGAATGTATTCATGCTCAGACTGGTATAAGTTTCGCTTCCCCCGAATTTGGATCGAGCGGGATCTGACGCTGCAAAACTCGGACAAATCTGGACAAACAATTCAAGCCTGAATTACTTTCTACTGGTATTATTTCTTCAGTATACGAGCCGAAATCTCGTTATAAGTATAGAATTTAAAGTGATGTTAAGTCTTAGTGATTTCTTGCAATCGTTCACCAACCCCTTTCAAATGTAAGCTACAAGAAGTGATAATTGTCTAATTGAGGGAATCTTCCAATCTAATGTGATTTAAAACTATTAAAAGTGTTAAAAAATGCCTCAAGATCACTGGAAGAATCGTTATCAGATACGTCAGAGTTATATCACCAAAAAGTAAAGCGAAGTCAGCAAAATGTAGATGGTACATAACAGATAATATGACAGAAGTCACAAAAAGCCGTGGTTACAAAAACGCCCACAAATAATTATTCAAACTCATGACCATCTGTAAAAATCAGTCGCTAAAAGCTATAAATTTGGCAAAAACATCATGTTTATAGCTAATAGCGTACAACGAGACTGTTCCAAACAATTGCAGAAGACACTGTTTTCGATATATCTCAGAACTCAACATATAAAAATATTACAAAAAGAAATGGTGATGATCCTTCATTCATACCTTTTCAAGACATTTTTTGTTTAGAAACAGTTTTTAAGCACATATTAATGTTGTTGTTTGTTATTAAGCACAAAGCTGCCCAATGGGCTATTTATGTTCTGACCACCACGAATATTGAAACCGGGTTTTTAGCGGTATAAATCCCCAGACATTACATGTAGATGTTTACTACTCTTCTTATAGAGAACGTGTTCTGATGTTAAACTTTTTACGTTTATTCCCTAAAAAAATCATACTTAATGATTTATTAAGATCATACATTCTTACGGTGTATATGTTGACAAAACATGATTTGTAGATCAGAAGTTTTTATTGAAAAAAAAGGTGATTATTTTTCTCGCATCTTTCTTTACTGGCTCTATACATGTTTCCAGCAAGAATAATATAATAGTACTTCGTGCGCTACACGCCGCTGCCAAAGATGCCTTTCGCACAATACTAGCTGGACCTCAACATATTGTACGGTAGAGGGCCAGGAAAGATGGAGGTAATTTCAAACAAACTTCTGGTTTCTTGATTATTACAACTTTTAATTCACAATAACAGTCGTGATATTGTTTAGAACAACAAATATTGGAGTTGAACAAAACAAGCTCTCTTACCATTGCTGAACATGTCGTCGTCTACTGTTTGTCCTACTTTAGCGTAGAGAACTCCAAACTTGAAATTAACAGATCCCTGAAATGCCAAAACAGCTTGTAACAGTGATGATTTCCTTCAATGTTTTAAAATATCATATTGGTTTTTTGAGAAGGTGACAATATGTTGTTTAACTTGTTTATATATATATATATAAAGATTCGTGTTGCTAAGCAAAAACAAAAGGTATAATATCTGATGGCCTGGACATCGGCTTATGAATTATTTGAACATTTACCTTTCCTGTTACAATTGATTGATTACACGTGGATTTTTTTTTTTTTTTATAGAATCAATAAAATCTTATTACCTCTTGTTCTTCAAGGAGGAGCAGATCCTAAAAACAAACAAACAAAAGATAATGCAGCTTGTTTAATACTGATTTTTGTTGTAAATAGCACAAGCATTACAAACTATTCGCGTGTAGATATAATCATCAAAATAAATGGGACATACACAAATCTATTGTTGTTGATGGCTGTAAAGGCAAGAAAATGGATGGAAAAACAAAAGATACAGATATTCTGCAGACCGTGACTTTGTTTCATTGGTTTAACATTGCTTGTACTTGGAGGAAAATAAGGAAAACTTTAACAGTAATCTTACACAACTTTTTTCGATTGCTGTTAAATTATATTTTTATTCCCACAATTGGACCGAGACAATATTAGCAAATTAAAAAGCAGCAACTATCTCGTAATGAAGACATAATTTGAGTTTGATTCAACCTGATTATGACTTTTGGTTTGACTAATGTTAAGCACAAAGCTACACAATTAGCTATCTGTGCTCTGCCCCAAACGGGTATTAAAACCTGATTTATATCGTTTTAAGCCCGCTGACTTACCGCTGGGTCACTAGAGGCGTTTTTAAGGTAAAAATAAATCCGTTGTTTCTACAGTAAAATAAAAAATAAATTCGTAATGTAGGTTGGTTTTTGTTAATAACATGTTTGTCCTTTCAGCCGTGGAGGCGTTATAAAATTACGGTCAATCCCACTATTCGATTAGGGTAGCCTAAAAGTTCGAAGTTTGTGGTGTTTACTAGCTTTATTAAGTCGTTTAGTGTTTTCATGAAAAAGAGTGTATAATCGTATTTTGACTATACAATGTCCGCCATTGCCGAGACGCGTTTCGCTCAATACAGAGCTCATCAAGCTGGCTGAGACAAAACAAAAGAGATATAATAAAGAACAAATAAAGTGGTGGTAAGCTCTTATTTATATCAATTTTGATATTTTACATAATATTTCAGGTTAGTGAAACGTGTTATTACCTTAATAAACCGAACTTCTACAGCCTAAACGTCATGTGGTTGTTTTGACACACACAAAACCCGAAAGAAATTTACATCAAGATTTCTGGTCATTTTAAAAAAGAAGTCACAATAATTTTATTTATTTTTTATTACTGAGTGAGTGAGTGTTTTGGTCTTTGAGTGGTAACACAGACACGTTGAGTTTGTGATAGTTTTCTCCTCAGACATAATTTAAATCTGTTTATTTATTCATTTCTGCTCAGGGAACGATTTCAGTCTTTAACTCTAGCATTTAGGTATAATCATAATTTACCTTTTGTAATTCTGGAACAAATATTTCTCTTGGAGCCTTTTCTAGTTTATCCATGTTCTGAAAATTGCTGTTGCAAAAAACAAATAAGCAACTGAAGTGATGAAAATAAGGTTAAAAACAATGAAATGTTTATTTAACTAAAGTTTAGAAGTCATTTACTAAACTCAAAACTATATGAACTCACATCTTGAATAAAAATTACTGTATCACTGATGATATTAGAAAATGACATTTCTTTTGTAAAAGTTCAACATAATATAAAAAGATATCAATCACTTATAAAAGTTCACCATAATATAAAAATACATTAATCACTTGTAAACGTTTACCATAATATAAAAAGACATCAATCACTTGTAAAATTTCACCATAATATAAAAAATACATCAATCACTTGTAAACGTCTACCATAATATAAAAAAGACATCAATTGCTTTTAAAAATTCACCATAATTTTAAAAAGTCATGAATTACTTGTAAAAGTTCGCCATAATACAGGGTAGTAATGTCTATGGGGCTATGTTAAAGGTGTCGTGTATCGAACAAAGATACGGGACATTACTGAACTAAAA